TAAGTTACAGGTTTCCCCCACTCTCTAAAAATAGAATATTCCTATGAAAATTTTCATAAGCTAAAATAGCATAAAATAATGAATAACCCCTTCTTTTTGAAGGGTCACATTACACTACTTTCTTTTTATGAAAGACCTATAGTAGTACAGGAATGGCCTTTTTTGCAAAAGTGAAAATCCTCTTCACTTTTTTTTGTTAGTGAAACAGGTACTAATGTATAATAGTCTTTAAACTAAAAATGGTTTAAAGAGACAAAGAAAGTCATTATATAATGATAAATAGGTCAGTCCATCAAAAAGATATAAATATTTAAGCACTCATCATCAGAATACCAAAATATATATAGCAAGAATTAACAGGACTAAAAGAAGAAATAATCAGTAAGACAGTAAGTTTGGGGCTTTAATACCTCACTCTTAACAATAGATAGATTATCCACACAGAGAATCAACATGGAAATACTGGATTTGAACAATGCTACAGACCACATGGATCTCACAGACATACACAGAACATTTTATCTGACAACAGCAGGATACACACTCTCTCAGGTGCACATGGAACATTTACTGACATACCATATGTTAGCCCATAAAAAAAGTAAGTATGAGTAATTTCAAGAAGTCTGAAAATGTGCCAAGAATCTTCTCTGACCACAATGGTATAAAACTCGAAATGAGTAGCAGGAGGAAAACTGATGAATACAGAAACTAAACAACACTCTCTTGAATAGTCTGATCGAGGAAGAAATTAAAGAGGAGATTAGAAATTATTTTGAGAGAAAGAAAATGAAGACACAACACAAGAAAACTTGTGGAATGTGGCAAAAGCAGTTCTAAAAAGGAAGTTCACAGCAATAAACATCTATATTAAGACACAAGGAAGAACTGAAATAAACAATCTAACTTCATACCTCAAAGAATTAAAAAAAGAAGAAAAAACTGAGCCCAAAGTTAGCAGAAGGAAGGACATAATAAAGATTAGGGCATAAATAAACAGAGAACAGGAAAATAATAGAAAAGATAACCCAAACTGAGAGCTGCTTCTTTGAAAAGATAAAATTGACAAAGCTTTAACTAGACTAAATAAGGGAAAAAGAGAGAGAAACTTTCAGCAAAATTATAAACGAGAGGAGACATTGCAATTGAAAATACAGAAATAAAGAGGATCATAAGAGTCTACTATGACAACTGTAAAAACTGGACAATTTAGAAGAAATGGATAAATTCTTAGAAACATGCAACCTGCCAAGACTAACTCAGGAAGAAACAGAAAATCTCAACAAACCGATTACTTGTAAGGACACTGAATCAGTAAACAAATGAAGAAAACCCATAACCAGACGGTTTCAATGGTGGACTTTAACAAATATTTAAAGAAGAATTAATGACAATCCTCCTGAACTCTTCCAAAAAATCAAAGAGGAAGTAACTGTCCTGAACTCATTTGATAAGGTCAGCATTACCCTGATACCAAAGCCAGAAAATAACCTTACAATAAAAGAAGTCAATAGGCCAATATCCCTGATGAAGATAGCTACAAAAATTTTCAATAAAATACTAGCAAATTGAATTCAGCAATACATTAAAAAGATCATTCACCATGGTCACATGGGAGTTTTCTCTGGGATGCAAGCATGATTCATGACATGCAAATTAACAGATATGACATAGCAAATTAGTAGAATGAAAGATAAAAATCATATGTTCATCTCAACAGTCGCAGAAAGAGCATTTGTCAAAATTTTATATCCGTTCATGAAAAAAAAATCCCTTAACAAATTAGGTATAGACAGAAAGTACCTCAACATAATAAAGGCTATATGTGACAAAACCACAGACAACATCATCCTGATGAAAGGTTGTAAACTTTCCCCCTAAGATCAGCAACAAGACAAGGATGCCCACTTTCTCCATTCATATTCAACACACACTAGAAGCCCTAGCCAGAGCAATCAGGTAAGAAAAAACAAAAGGCAGTCAGAATTGCAAAGGAACAGGTAAAATTATTTCTATTTGCAGATAACATAATTTTATACAGAGAAAATCCTGAGGACTCCACCAAAAAACTGTCAGATCTAGTTAGCAAATTCAGTAAAGTTGTACAAAATCATTTAAAAAATCAGTAGCATTTCCACGCACCACCAACAAAAATCTGAAAAAGAAAATGATTCTATTTATAATAGCGTCAAAACCAAAAAAATAATAAAGTACTTTTGGCAGTAAAACAGACACATAGACCAATGGAAAAGAATAGAGAGCTCAGAAATAAACTCCTGGAAATACAGTCAACCAGTACATGAGAAGGAAGCCAAGAACATTCAACTGGGAAATGACAGTCTCTTCAACAAATGGTATTGGGAAAATTGGACAGTCACATGGAGAACAATGAAATTGAACTCCTATCCTACAGCACTCAAAAATTAACTCAGGATGGACTGGACTTAAAAAAAATAAGACCAGTTACTGTAAAATTTCTAAAAGAAAACACAAGGGAAAAGCTCCTTGACATTTGCCTTGGCAGTGACTTTTTTGGAATGACACCAAAAACACAAGCAGCAAAAGCAAAAATCAACAAGCAGGACCACGTTAAACTACAGAGCTCTGCATAGCAAAAGAAATAATCAAGAAAATGAAAAGGCAACTTATGGAATGGGAGAAAATATTTGCAAACCATATACCAGATAAGGGATTAATATGCATATGCATATAAATATATAAAGAACTCACTCAACTAAAAAAAAAATAATAAGCACTCAAATTGAAATGAAAAAATAAGCAGAGAAAGTGAACATTTTTCTGAAGAAGACATATAAATGGCCAGCAACTACCTGAAAAGTTCTCAGCATCACTAATCATCAGGAAATCCAAATCAAAACCATAATGAGAGATTATTTGTGACACCTGTGACACCTGTGACAATGGCTGTCATCAAGAAGACAAGAGATAACTAGTTGTTGGGAAGATATGGGGGAAAGGGAACCCCTGTGCACTGCTGGCAGGATGCAAAATTGTGTAGCCACTATGGAGAGAGAGTGGAGTTGCTCAAAAGATTAAGAACAGAAAGACCATACGATCCAGCACTCCCACTTCTAGGAATCTATCCAAAGGAAATAAAAACAGGAATTTGAAGAGATATGTGCACTCCCATGTTTATTGCAGTATTATTCATAATAACCAAGATAACAGAAACAACCTAAGTATCTATCAATGGTAAACAGATAAAGAAAATGTGGTGTATATATATATATACACACACACACACACACACACACATATATATATATATATATATATATATATATATATACATATACACACAATGAACTATTATTCAGTCATGAGAAAAAATTAAATCCTACCATTTGCAATAACATGGATAGACTCTGAAGGCATTGTGCCAAGCGAGCTAAGTCAGAGAAAGGCAAATATTATATGATATCACTTACATGTGCAATCTAAAATAGTTGAACCAAAAAAAAAAAAAAAACCGAACAACAACAGACTAAATGGTGGATACCAGGGGCTGGAGGCTGGGGAAATTGGGGAGATATTATTTAAGGGTACAAACTTACATCTAGCAAGTATGTTCTGGAGATCTAATGCGGAGCATAGTGGTTACAGTCAGTAACAACGTATTTTGAACTTCAAAGTTATAAAGAGACTGGATCTTAACTGTTCTCACCACAAGAAAGAAATGTTAACTGTGACCTGACAGAGATGTTAACTAACACTATAGTGGTAATCACACTGCCACACATAAAGGCATCAAATCACTCACTGTACATCTTCAACCTTGGCATGTTATAGGTCAGTTATTAAAAAGAAATTAAATAATTACACATTAACAACAAACATGAAAATGATCAAAAGTAGCCAAAATAGAAGACATGAAAGTATATAAAATATCCCCCCCCAAAAGCTGGTATCACATATGAAAGTTTATAAATGAAAAAATAATTTAGATAAATATATCATTAAGCTATTGATCAGCAGGTAAATTAGCTTTAGAAGATCTGGTTTTAGGTCAACTGATTCTTGGCCAAAGGCATGTTCTTAAATTTTCAATACACTGATTCTACATGGAGGGGCAGGGTGAGAGGTTGGGAAGTCTCCTGAAGCTGTGTGCATACAATCTTTGGACAATAAATTACTGAAGAAACAGTGTGCTCTTGATCTTTGATCTTTTAACTCTCCTGATCTCACCATCCTTGTCATGTGGGACAGTAACAGAAAGGATTAGTAATAGATGAGAAAATGTTACTTTTCAGGGTGACCTAAGCCTATTTATCTTCCTGGTACTCTTAAGAACATTATACACATGGGTCACCTGGGTGGCTCAGTGGGTTAAAGCCTCTGCCTTCGGCTTGGGTCATGATCTCAGGGTCCTGGGATCGAGCCCTGCATCGGGCTCTCTGCTCAGCAGGAAACCTTCTTCCTGCTTCCCCCTCTCTCTCTGCCTGCCTTTCTGCCTACTTGTGATCTCTCTGTCAAATAAATACACAAAGTCTTAAAAAAAAAAAAGAGCGTCGTACACATATGACACTAGTCTCTTTTTTCAAGAATAACTTGAAAATGCAACTACTTCTTCTATTTTTAAAACAGTCCTTAGGCAATTGTTTTAACCTTATTGTGGAAAAGAGTATATTATGGAAGAGTTCCCTTGCAAGTCAGAGTACTTTTGGTAATAAAGACTTTACACTCACCTGACAGTACTTCTTGGCCTCCTTCAAAAGACGATTGGCCAAGGGCACTGGCCTCTGGGGAATTTGAAATCCCATAGGAAAAGTAAAGGGTTAACCATCTAGTTTCCTGTAATTAGGTTAATTTGTCACCAAATTTAGAGACTCCAGGGTTTGGAAATATTCCAGTGAAGGTTGTTTTATTTTCATACTTGTTAAGCTTCACTGACCAAAAGGAACCTCAGTTCCTTGGAAGTAAACAAAAGGGCCTGTGTTCCACTATCCCCGATCGCTCGCCTTTGTACTGGGCATTCCACCATGAGACTCCATTCCCTTCTTTCTGTGCTCTTCCTCTTTGTGACTCTAATCCCAAAAGGTAAGGTGATGGATAACTGTAGGTTTCTTAGGAGATAGTGAACAACTGTGGGTTTCTTAGGAGGTCTACTGGGATGCTCTGTGCCCATTTTAACTCAGACCCTAATGCTCAGCCTTAGGGAATCCGAAGTCCATCATGATCCTCTCCCTTAGAACTGATAAGGCCAAAACTGCAAAACCAAAGATTTCCATCAACAGAAAATGAGATCCAAGAGCTCAATGCTTAGAAAGTGGGGCGCAAATAAAGAGAGAGGTAGAGAAGCTGTGACATATGACTTAAGGCTTAGCAAACAAATCAAGTAGCCTTTACCAGATCCCGATCTCCAAAAAGGAACATGCAAAGGGCAGCTCTTGGTTCAAGCTTGGCCAGTGAACAGAAGCGAAGTCGACTCTGTTGGTGAGGAGTATTTGTGAAGGACAGAAGTTAGGTCCTTAAGACAGAGCTCCACAAGAAAGGACTGCATTAAGTCCACAAGAAAGGAATGCTCCCTCAAGCAACAGGGAGCAGAGGAATTTGGAAAAAGCATAAAAAGCATCAGTGGCAAAAGTTTAAGCATAGGAAAATATATGAAGAAAGAATTTTAAGAATATGAATTATATATATGTTTTTAGGATCCATGATTCAGAACTTTGAATATGACAATGTAGACTCAAAGGAAAAGCGGAATGTGGTCATCTTCAGGCTGGTTCAACCAGATCCTCATAAGAACTGATAATTCCTCTCCCCGCTGTTAATGACGGGATGTTCGCATCTCTCGAAATAATGTCTGTGGTCACTGAACACAGATGAGGTCTGGATAACTCTCTTGCTTTGTTGGTTCATCTCAAAGATTCTTTTAAATATAATCAACAATACTCACTTGTTTGATCTTTGCCTACTCTGTGGATATCTTGGGATCTACCTAACATACAGTTGTCTCCAACTGAAGGAATTTACATAATTCTCATTTGATTCTCAGTTCTGTCACAAGAAGACACAGTTGCAGGGAGACACACTTGTAGTGACATCTAATGTAAAATCATACAATCATCATGCCTTAAAATTGGAAGGTGATTTAATGGCTTAATTCTTCAATTTTACAGATAAGAGAACCCAGGTCTACATAAAGAATATGATTTTGCTGAGGTCACACAGGTAGTGGCAACAAGGCAGCTAGAACCATCTTTAATCTGGGTCAGTTTTGGTTCCATCGATGTACGGGTTTGGATATGCCCATAAAATGGTAATCCTGATTTCTCTCAGAGTTTTTACCTCAAAATCTCCTAACTAAATACTGAGGAATCTAAGCAGATTCCTATGTTTCCTCTTTTAGAAGATACAATGTCTATGAAACATTTTATTTCACTAACCTCCAAATTCTTTCCTTCACTGTTTGAGGTAAGCATGTCAAATGGGCTAAATGTTCTGCCATTATTTTTGGACTATTAATCCAATCTTTAGATTCTTCTGATCTGTGTTCCTTAAAATCAGATAAACTGCTATCCATTCTGAAAGCATTTGCCACAAGAGAATTATGGCTGCAGAGTTGATGAGAGAATAGGTTTTGCTCATGCTAGCCCTCTACCGTCTGAGCTAAAGTCAGCCCAACATAAATCACTGTCTGCTCCCCCAAGTCACAGCCCATGTTACCAGCTGGGTCTTTTTTTTTAAAAGTTAACAAGGAATAGATCTCCTTGAAGTAGATTTTAGCCAAAACCCACCGATCTAGTGGGAAAATGGACACAGCAATTGTTGTTGTAGTGAGGGAAGAACATTGAGAAAGAGGCTGTCCTAAAGCAAAGGCCAGAAACGATTTCTGGTAAAACAGGATTCTAGGAAACCTAGGCCTGACATTTAGAGAAGTTAATACAATAATGACAAGACTCGATACTAACAAATAGAACAGTGCATCCAAAGTAATATAGTGGGGGATACCAGACAGTCTAAAACAGACTGAAGCCAAGAGGTTTTAGAAGAAACAGGAGAGAGAACGTGTGTGGGGTCAGAGTACCTTACTGCGTTCAATGGCAACAAAGACTGACCAAGCCCTCTTGTTGTTCTCACACTGGGTCTTTCACAAACACCTGGAATAAGGTGGGAAACAAAGGAAAGACAGACATTGGTCAAATGATTACACAAATTAATATATAATTATAAAGTTTAATAAGCACAATGGACAGGAACAGAGTACTATGAGTGCCCCTAATATGTGGTCATTGTCTTGTTGGCAATGTCAGAGACTTCCCTGAGGCATGCCTTTTGAGATCCAAACAGAAAGATAAGCGTTAGTTGATGGATCCCTTTCAAGAAGCAGTCAACACTGCTGGCAAAGGAAGATGCCAGTCCAGTGTTGCTGTTGGAGAAGAGAGCACAGGAACTGCAAGAAGGCCGCCATGCTAGTTGGGTAAAAACTAGCACTAGTTCATACTAGAAAATGAGCCAGGCATTTCATGGAATTATGCGAAGGTAGAAGCTGTAACCAAAGCTAAGTCTGTGGGGGCGGGGTGGGCATTTTAAGAACAAGGAGGGCAAGACAATCAGACTTTATGTATGAGTATGTAAAGTCTATATATAAATCTCTAGTAATAGAAATTACTAGTACCTAAATTACACAGGGGCTCTTGATTTATGCACACAAACCAGGCTTAACTTTGGATTCCTGAAAGGCTGCAAACTTGACAGGTCCCTTAACACATCTGGCTTCTGTTTCATCATTTCAACTGTCCTGTCCTCAGAGTCTCTCTTCCTGGTTCCATTGCTGAAGGGGTTTGAAATTACAGAAGCTTCCTTCTTTTCTAACCTTGGGAGAATCATCTTTTGAGGTAAACACATGGAATTAAGCCTGAGAAACCACTAGCAACTGTGTGAAAATAGAGAAAATGTATAAAGAACAAATGTTAAGAATTAGGAAGTAAAAATTCCCAACTTTTCCATCTTATAATTCCGGTGATTCAGTGATAAATAAGCCTGGTCTAGCTCTCTGTCCATTCTTTAAGTCAGGATCAGGCTCAGACTGTGCTCTCTCTGTCAGATGCATAAATAAAATTGTTTCAAAAAATCAAATAAAAAAGGTCACTGTTTTCACGGAGAAAATTTCTCCAAAGAAACTACATAATCCAAACAGGAAAATGTTGGTTTACCCACCAACAGTCCAAGGAATGTTACGTGATCACTACCTGAGCATAGATCATCATGTGTCTCTTGAAAAGAATCCATGACATCTTAGGAAAGAACATATACACGTATTTTGCACATACAATTATACACACACACACACACACATATCTGCTTGAGAGTAGGGGCATAAAGAGGTTAGAACGGCATAATGCTTTTCTTTAAAAGATTTATTTATTTATTTGTTTGTTTGTTTGTTTATTTGGGGGGGGAGGGGCAGGCTAAGAGACAGGGATACAGAGAATCTCAAGTAGACATTTGATGAGCGTGGAGCTTGCCCCGGGGCTCCATCCCACCACCCATAATAGCATGACCTGAGCCAAAACCACCAGCTGGATCGCCCAGGTGCCCCAAAATGGTGGAACTCTTAAATTGATTGATTAACCCCCTGAGAAGTAAGACAATTTATAGCATTCTTCTTATACTGACTCTGGAGAATAACATACTATTTAAACAGACATATTGGATGGGAGCAGAAGACCGCTTGTACTCTATGTTACCTACAGAAAAGAAAATTGCCTATCTCTTTCTTAGCTGATAAAGATCCAGGAAGAGCCCACCCCATCCAAACCCTGCTCTCCATCCCCTCCACTAGAAGAAATAGAACAGCTAATAACTCAATAAGTTCTTATGCTGAGAAAAGCATGTCCTTTTTGAGGTTAAATGTATTTCTCTTATTTTAGTGTGATTCTATGTTTTCCCCATTTCATCTATGGAAATTTATGCTGTGATGCCATACGAAGTAAGGGTCTACATCTTCTTTTCCCAACAGCAATGATTAAACATATATCCCTTCTCCCACTGCATGTGATACAACCATTAGAACACACTAATACCCTATCAATTCTGAAATCTATTAGATCATTCTCTCCAGTTGCTCTGTATATCTTACATTATGACAGTGAGTGAAAATAAGTGTCAGTATCTGGGAAGAAATGCCCTTTCTTATGAACCACATAATTTAATATTACCTTCTATGCCTGCACAGAAACATATGTCCCACTCATTCTTAGAAGGGAGGGTAGAACTCTTGGGCTTTGGTTCAGGTAACACCTTCTTAAATCAAGCTTCGGATTCAGTAGAGAGCACATCCCTGGAAGGATGAATTGGTCTGAGCCTGTTGATTCAAGGGAGAGGCATCTGCCAAGAAGAGAGTGGTGCTGCCCTAGACCACGGACCGTATCAGGAAGTTGAACTTTCCAGTACAACGCATGAAAGACCACCCTGCTGCCTCTCACTACGTCTTTCCCCGTACCAAGAACTTCTGATTTTAGTGTTGTTAGGACACCTGAAAATGGCCCCATGTGTTACACAGAGCGCCTGGACAAAGTTATCCCGGGGGAGACTAAGCCACCAACAGGACCCCCATGCAGCAGACCATGAGCCTGTGCTCTGGGGAGATGGGGCGGCGCAGCCCGGGCCTCGCACAGCTGTCTAGTGAGAACTTCAGTTCTCTCCCCAGAGGACAATTTATCCTCCAGAAGTGGCCCAGCAGAGACAGCGCCACAAGGCCTCACCTGAGGCCATTCTCTTGTTGCCTGGAGACCTGGAGTTTATGGAAGGCCAGCCTGCGGCCTGGGGGTGCGGGACCCCAGCCGGCACCGGGCTGGATCCTCTAGCAAGGCTAGAGCAGTCTCACACACATTCTGAAAATTCGGTTACAAAAGGCTGTGTTGGTTTATTTGGCTGTTATTTTCCTACAGAATGCAGAAACAATTACAAGAAGCTGATTCATATACCCAAAAAAAAAAAAAAAAAAAAAAGGTTCAGAGGCACAAAGGGGGTCAAACGAGGAGTTAAGACAAAGAAGTCAGGCAGCAAAGAAGCCAGGCCCGGTATGTTACAGGAAGCAAAGACAGCAGGAGACGCGGGTGGGCTAACAGGACAGTTAGGGGACTGACCTCTATTAACGGACGTGAAGAGAGCGTGTCTCTTATGTGACATCTGCCGGGATCCACAGGGGAAAGGAGGAAGCCTCGTTATGCCTGAAAGGCTAGTGGCAAGACCCCGAGACTAAAGGAAGCTACCCCCTCGGGGCGCACTCAGTTCCGTGCTTCTCAGTGGCCAAATCAATTAGGAAAACAGCTACATTTAAGGAAAAATGCTTTTCAGCTTTTGAAATAAATTCTTTCCTGTATCGACAGATAAGTGGCATTGGACAACACAGAAAGTGTGTTGTTTGCCTAGCCCTGTGATGGGGACTTTGGTAAGGTGGACGCTATAGGGTCGGGAAAGTCTCTGGAAGAGGTGCCAGACACGTTCCCTGGGACAGAGATGCCGTCAGCATGGATGGGCGATGTCCGTCAGCGTAGACAGGGCCATGGAAGGACAGATCCTTCCTTCAAAATAGTGCTTCTCAGTGAAGGTATCGGCATTTGGGGCAGGACAGGTCACGAAGTAGGAAATCCAGGAAATTCGTGCTTTACCCCCTAAATACGAAGGATGCCTCCCCAGTCCTGGTGGCAACAACAAATCGAGCCAACATTTCACAAAATGCAAATGCCCCAGATGAGGACAACTCTCTCCAAGCTTCTCGAAATCAACCTGCCCCCTCCAAGATGTCCTGCACTCTTAGCCCTCCTCCCCACAAAAGGCGCCCCTTTTGCTGAAATGCCTGATCTTTTCCTATAGGAAACACCATCCCTTCTATCCCAAGGCCATCCTTCCGTACATTTATTGCTCTGGGTGCGTGACTGATAATTTGACGGTCACTTAATCTGCTGGTGATTTAATGATGTCAACTCTCTTTCTGTGCAGCAAGGCCTGGTGTTATTTTGGGGCAGAAACAGTGTGTTCTTTTGAAAGGGGTGTGCAAGGATGGAGGCTGCACCGCCACGGACAATACCACTGCTGAATACAATGACGAGAAAAAGTGTTGTAGGAAGTGGTGGGTGCTCCTTCCCTACCCAACACCAGCTCCCAGAGCAAAATATCCTTAGTGGGAACAAGCTGGAAGCCCTTCGAACTCCAGAACACCCGGATACAATTTGCAAAGCCCTTTTTAACCCACCTTGAGTGTCTCCCTTGGGAAATAAATGTCCCAAATCCGCATGTACTTGTCCCCAGGGAGTTTCTTCTTCATGCGCAAGACGCAATTACATGACAGAGGAATCTCGGACCCTCAGGGTAGAGAACATTTCTGGAAAATGATAAAGACAGAAACTTTAAATGGGTAAAAACTGAAGGATATGGACAGCAGTAGGTTGTGTCTGACCACCTCAAGTGGATTATCAACCTCCCACACCACCTGACTCTGGACAAACACTAGAGACCTCCGGCAGCGACGGGGATGAAGGTCTCCCAGCCACGTGGTCTCGCAGGCACCGTCCCCGGGAACAAGGTATACCGCACCGGTCTCAGCCACGCGGGCCTGAGGCTGGCAGCCCCTCCTGGGCAGGCAGCCCCGCAGGAGGGGAATGGGACAGCTGCGCCCAGCAAGGAGGCTGTCTGCTCTGGGGAGCTGGATGGCTGAGGAGCCAAGAACCCAGCATGCCCAGTAAGTCCTTTCCAGATTCACCATCAGATAATCCCACCTCCTGGCTGGAATAATTCCCATCGTCATCATTACAATTCTGGATTCATTTCTACTTTATGGCTAAGCAAATTCAAGGGCAAGAGGCCAAGAATGTTACACAACATGAGTTCCACAAAGATGGAAACAACTACCCCACAAACAAAATTCAAGGCTTTTTTTTTCTTTTTTTTTTTTTTAAGATTTTATCTGTTTTCTTTATTTGAGAGAGAGAGAGTGATCAAGGCTTTTGTTTTTTTTCTTTTCTTTTCTTTTCTTTTTTTTTTTTTTAAAGATTTTATCTGTTTTCTTTATTTGAGAGAGAGAGAGTGAGCGGGAGGGAGAGGGAGAGAGACTCTGAGGCAGACTCCGTGGCAGACTCCGTGCTGAGCCCAATGCAAGGTTCCATCCCACCGTGAGAGCACGACCTGAGCTGAAACGGAGATGGGAAGCTTAACTGACTGAGCCACCCGGGCGCCCCAGGGCTTTTCGTTTCTTGACCAGATAAATGTCTTGCACACAAAAGCTGCCCTCCTGCCTATCTGCATGGCCCAGAACCACACCACAGTCTCCTGACGCCTTGTGTTGATGAGGAAAGGGTCTGGAATCAGTCATATTTAAGTTAAGACTGTAGTTCCCTTGCTTACCAGTCACCTGACTCTGAACTACTTAACCTTCCTTTGCATTAAAATTCTTCTTCAATAAATGAATGAAATAAACAATTTAACTTCTGGGCTTGTTGTAAGGATTAAATGAGATCAAGTACACAAAGCACTTGGAGCGGGCAAGGTGAGACCCCAGGGAAGTCAGCCAACAGCTGTGTCCCTTTTCTCTTGTCCCTGAAGCCTAGAGCGGAAAGAAATCATTGTACTTCACAGTCGTATTATTTTATTATCAGATGAGGCATAGATTACCAGTTTAAAACAATGCCACAAAGTATATTTAAGATTGAAAGACTATATGGGAAACAACTATTTCTTTGATATTTCAGAAGAAACCACTGTGAAAAGTTGTAACTGTTTAAAGTTATAGTTTGTATTATAATTACCATTACCTTCTGATATCCAAAACTGTATCTGTTTAATAAATATATCCGATTACTCCTATGAAAACCAATATTAAATAAGCAAGTTAGAAAAGAAACTAAAAGAAAGTTTTTATTGATAATAAAGTTGATATTTCAGTAGCATTAGATAATCCTTTCTCATGACATAATAGATTAAAATAAGTAACAATATCAAGGGGAGGGAGTGACATGACAAAGGAAGCTAGAATTTTATTTTAGTAATGGTGTGGTGGATGGTAAGTATCTCTGAGAAATCATTTCTCCCAGAGCCTCGGCTCTTCTCTGTTCTTCATGACCTTGAGATCCTATAAAGACATCAAAGCTTCCCTTTGGATTCTGTATCATTACTTAGAACACTGCTAGGCACATACTCAACAATGCACGGGGTTTCAAATCAGAAACACACAGAGAATGCAACTGGAAGTCTCAGCTGCAGGAAAACGCAATAAGCCATAATCGAAGCCAGTGTGTGTTGTCAACAATGCGTTGACTGGAACATTAATGATACTTCCGAGTGTCTCCTCTCTTTCAGTTCAGAAGGACTGACATGAACAGCCTATGCCCTTTGTCGAGGTTACACCTAGCTGGGGCATCAGCTGAAATGTCTGACTGCCCAAGTGAGCAGTCCCGTAACATCGCAGCTGGGTCCCACTTACAGGCCTACGCAAGCAGAGTAGGATGCAACCTCCACTAGTTATTTCAGACATGAGAGAGTAAACATCTCATTATAATTCAAATGCGTTTTCTGGAAGTGAGTGATAATAATGAAGTTATCCTTCACTAACATGCTCACATAGTTTAAGCTAGCGGTTAGCTACTGCACTATTTCAGAAGTGTTGGAAACAGTATTGAAGACCATCAGTAAAATATTCAAGAATATCAGTGAATTGGGAATCAGGAGGCCTTAACTCTAGACCTCAGGGCAACAACGTCCGGTAGAACTTTTGACAATGATGGGAACTCTCTGTTTCTGCCTTGTCCACTGGCCACATGTGGTTACAGAGCACTTGAAATGTGGCCAGTGACTGAGAGAATAACTTTTTATTTTGTTTTATTTTAATTAGTATTAATGTAAATAGCCACACGTGGCTAGTGACTCGTGTCACACAGCAGAGCTTTTGAGCCCTGAGCCGGTGCAGTGACCCAGTGATGAAGGACCTGGGCTCTGGAGCAGGAGGAAGTCTGCGGCACTCAAATCCCAACTCCAGCCCCACCAGTTGTGTGAGCTGGCATAGGTTAGGTGACGTTTTTGTGCCTCAGCATCCAATTCTGGAAACATGAGGACAGCCATAGCTTTTTCTTCATTAACTGTTATGAGGAGCACATGAATCTGCATATTAAAATCCCTGAGACAAGTTTTTGCATTTTTCCTGAGGGCAATGCTCTCTCATCCGGGGTTCTCTGGGGGTGGTGAGCTAAGAGAAGGGAAGGGCCATTTGAGACCCTGGGCAAGCAGTTCTAGTTCCTTCCTAGTTTCATCCTAGAAGTCACCTTCCTGTCCCTGAAACCATTACATTAGTTTTCTTATGAGTTCAAAGAGCTCTATCTGGAAGGTACTGGGACTCACAACTTAGGACCTGGTTTTCTGCAACTAACGGTACACTGGATACATCTGTTCCCATACACTGAGGAAACATTTTAGAATTAAAAGAATCACAAGCCGGGGCACCTGGGTGGCTCAGTGGGTTAAAGCCTCTGCCTTCAGCTCAGGTCATGATCTCAGTGTCCTGGGATCGAGCCCCGCATGGGGTTCTCTGCTCAGCAGGGAGCCTGCTTCCTCCTCTTTCTCTGCCTGCTTCTCTGCCTACTTGTGATCTCTGTCTGTCAAATAAATACATAAAATCTTTAAAAAAAAATAAAAGAAATTAGCCCCAAATTACTTAATAAGCATCTGTGTTCTGACAACATAGTAACCATTTGAAAAAACAATGCACACAAATTGGAAAAAAAGTAATATTCAAATATAACTTTTAAATAAGCAACCTACTGGGGCACCTGGGTGGCTCAGTCCGTCAAGTGACCTACTCGTGGTTTCAGCTCAGGTCCTGATCCCAGGGTCTTGAGGTCAAGCCTGTCAGGCTGTGCACTCCGTGCTCAGTCTGCTTGGAGTTTCTTTCTCTCCCTCCACCACCACCTGCCACATGCCTGTGCACACTCACTCTCTCTTACAAATAAAAACATAAATCTTAAAAAAAAAAAAAAAAAGCATCCTTCACTGAACAGCTTCTCAAGTCTGGAACACAGAGTAGACTCTGTCCTCACTTCCTGCTCCCCATTGGTTTCCTGTGTGGCTCTTACTTTTTCACCGCAGCACACAGCACAAACCTACTTGGACAAAGTCTCGCGTCACTGACACGACTGTCAGAGGGTCTGATGCTCACACTGCGAAGTGCTCTGAGCTGGTCATTCTTGCAGGGTCTAACGAATATTCAGCTTCTACCTTTCCCTTGAATTTTTACAATATTTTCATGATAACCTTGGAACCGGCTGGGGAGCATAGGGACGCCTCGTCCCGGGGTCTGTGAACTACTACTTCAGGTGTTTTTTTAAACATCTACCCTTTGTCCCAGATGATGAGCAGCTTGAGGACAAGAACTGTGTCTTATCTGCAGCCTGGACGTGCAACTTGCCACACGGTGAGTTAATAAGTATTACTGAAACCATGGGTGATATGAGATGAGCGGACACCGGCCGTAATTTTCAGGTTTTACTGCTACAGCAGATGACTTGTGAGAACTTATCTCTTGCATCTCACGAATGACCCAGAGCAGGCTGTCACTGACTGGGTGTGGAACAAGAAGCCTGAAAACTGACACATGAGGTCAGTGGTTCAAGCCAGCGGAGGGAGGTTCTCGGTGCCTGGCCAGAGAGGCGACAACAAGCTCTGGAGACAGGACCTTACAGTTACTTCCTGCCGGGTTTGGCCAGGACAACAAGAGTTACTTTCATCAACCCTGTAAGTATTGTGCACTCAGTGGCAGAAAAGATTTCACCAGCAACACCAATGTTCTATCCAGAGTGGCCCTCTCCTCTGAACACTGAGTGGAACATGGCTGGGGTCCCCACCGACCAGTTTCTTGCTAGATGCTGGGAGAGTTCTGGAGAACTATCTTCATGGCTTATCACTTTTAGTCTACTGCTCAACACTAGTTAATGTTTTATTATTTTTTAAAGATTTATTTATTATTATTTATTTGAGAGGAAGAGAGTTTGCGTGGCGGAGGGGCAGAGGGAGGAGAGAATCTCCACTAACTCCCCACTGAGTGTAGAGCTCAACAAGGGGCTTGATCCCAGGACCCTGAAATCCCAGCCTGAGCCAAAACCAAAAGTCTTATGCTCAACCAACTGAGCCACCCTGGTGC